GAATGTACTTAACAAGATGGTTGAGTGGCTCTAACTTTTCCATTTCACAAAATATATACATACATTAATGTGTACTCTCATATGGCCCCAAATGGGCCATCTTAAAACTAGAAGTATTATTTTATTTCTTGGTGTTATGAGAATGGTAGTCAAGATATTTCAGGAGGAAATACTTCCAGTGATTATTGTTGTTTCAGTAACATAAAGTCTCTCCTGCTTGTGGCAATTAAGTTTTACCACTTCCCAGATGAAGTCACAGCTTTCTCATTTTTTCAACTGCAGGGCTTTTTTTTTTTCTTTGATAATGCATTGGAAGTCCATTTCCTGTCATAGCACCATCGTGGCTGCCGTGTGTGGTCATTCTGTGCATCATTTCCTCTAGTGAATGGAGTAAACCTGTGAGCATGCACTGCTACAAAATATAAAGTCAGGTCTGTGGTCCGGATGTAATAGCAACAAAAGTGATTAATAGTTTGTTTTAATGAGGTAACTGGGATTTAATAAGTTATTGATTATTTTCAACATCTTACTTAAATGCTTTGGATTGTGAAAAAAAATCTTTCACTCATAGAAGGCAGTATTGATTAGGTATGAATTCATACATCAGGATTCTGGATGCTTCGTTATCTCAAGGCCAGCACATATTACCTGATTAGTATTGATTGTACTATGGGCATCAGTGAATCCTCATGATATCATTTTTAGTCAAGGAAGAATTGTTTAGTGTGACCCTGAAATCACTTTGCAGCAGGCCCAGAGAGTCAGGCTGTTGATGACTCAGAGCAACTGGCCATGGACTTAACTTGTTAAACTGGGTTTAGTTTGTTCCAATGGTTTCAATGTTGTAGTTATGCTTAGAAGATGTTCCCTTATGATATATTTTTACTTCATTTTTCTTATACAGTTTCCTCTGCTTGGTTATTTTTTCTCTTATTTTCTGCTTGGCAAACTTCTATTCACCCTTCAGGACCCAAATTAAAAGTCATCTTCTCTGTGATCTTGGTCTTGAGTCTCTTAGAAAGATACTGTCTCCTGGGTCCTTTTACCACCCTTAATTGTGCATAACTCTTCAATACAGAGTGATAAATGCCAGTAATTATGTATTTATATCCACTTCATAGTAAACCATGAATTTCTTTTGGACAGGGCTGTATATTGTCTCTTATGACTTGTCTGACCCTGATAATCCCCAGTATTTCAGAAGAAGCTACATGGTTGGCAATGTGTAAATGCTTGCTGCTGTTGCACATAGGATGGATATTTCCTTTTAACACTCAGAGTCTGAAACTTCTGGTCTCACAGGATTGCAATGGGCTTACACTGCTTTGAAATTGGAGGTTACAGGTACGGCTGTGCCGAGGACCTTCATTACTCCCACTATCACCACTGCACATGGAGTGATTGTATGGATCACATACAATCTGTGCTAAACACTTTAAATACAAAAGCTCATTAATTTCTCACTATGGAGCAAGATTACAGTTACATTCTCCATTTCAGAAATAAAGAACATGAGTTTTAATTTTCCCAAGGTTACATCACTACTGAAGGGTGAAGCTGGGAGTCAAATGCAGGTCTCTTTGATTCCAAAGCACATGTCTATAGGGGGACTTGAGGCACTCTGAGAAATGCCTATCCAAATCAGGAACCTCAAATTCCACCCCTGAGATGAAGTATTTGTTAACTAAGGAATATACATCATTTTTTTTACATAATACTATTGCACACTTAATAGACCACAGAATAGTGTAAACATAACTTTTATATGAACTGGGAAACCAAAAAATTCGTGTGGCTCACTTTATTGTGAAGCCTGCTCTATCACAGTGGTCTGGAGCCAAAGTGGAGTGTCTCCAGGTGCCTCTGTGTCAGCCTCCTGTTGCTGCCGTTTACAAATTACACAGGTTTAGTAGCCTAAGCACAAATCTGCATTTGTATAGTTCCGGAGATCAGAAGTCTGGAAAGGTGTCTTCGGACTAGAATCAAGGTGTCAGCAAGATTGTGCTCCTTCTGGATGTTGGAGGGAAGAACAGTTTCCTTGCCCTTTCCAGCGTTTAGAGGCCACCTGCATTCCTTAGTTTGTGGCCCCTTCCTCCATCTTCAAAGCGAGTGCTGTGGTATTTTCCAGTCTCTCTCTGACTCCAACTCTGACCCTCACTTTCCTGCTCTCTCTTTCATTTGTTAAGGGCCCCTATGATTACACTAGACCACCTAGATAATCCAGGGCACTCTTCCCAGCTCAAAATCCTCCCTACTATCTGCAGAGTCCCTTTGCTATGGAGGATGCCATATTTACCAGTTCTGGAGGCTGTCTTTGGTGTGCATTATTCTGCCTGCCACAGGTGTGCTAGCATGGAAAGTAGAGAGCAGGAGACTGGGCCTCAGTCTTGGTGCTCCCACTGAGGACCTATGTGCCACTGAGGAGCTATGTACCTATCTGGGCCACTGCTTCATTGTGGAGTCTTCTTCTAAATGCTGGGAGGCATGGCTCTGGCTCAGTTAATGCCAGACCTGTTCTAACCACCTGCAGATGACACCATAACATTTGTTTAATGCTACTTCTGAACATGTCATTAGTCCTTCTAATGGTGTTTCTGCAGGTTTTCAGTTGATTTCTACTTAACCATCCTATGTTTACTTACACCTTGCCTACAGAGCATGTAAATTTTCAGTTTCTCATTTTAAATAGGGGGCTCCAATTCTGTAGCATAGCTGATGCATTAAATATCCACAGCCAAATTGCTTAACGCCCAGGTTTTTTATCCCCTTCAAATTAAAGCTTTTAAAACACCCAGACTTCATGCTGGCTGAATGACACACACAGACTTTCTGCCGGTTTTTGGGGGCAGGCGATACTGGTTCCTGTCAAGTTCTAAATCTGGATGCTTTTTTTATAGTGGAGCAACTGAAAGGAATTTCTGCCTTATGATATATAACTACTACTTATTATAGACTGATCCATTTTGCAGCAAGGAGGTGGAAGGCAGGGGACTGGAGGAAGAACAAAATCCAATCTTAGACCTGAAAGAAAGTAACCTTCTAGCTGCCTTTCCACAACAGCAGCATAAGCTTCTTTATGGTGGCATCATTTCACAGTGACCTGCCACACTGCTCTAATTTTCCTGGTGTCACTCATGCAGGTTTAAAAAAATGACTGGTTTTATGGCTTTTATTTGGGAATTTGTCAAGGTGTAACATTTGTGGAAACCTTGAAGCAGTGGCCCGATAGTCCATAATTTGGAGTTTAAAAGGGATGTTGGTGGGTAACCTGCTTGGGCCCACGGGTGCCTATAGTGATCACATCCTTATTATGCCTTGTGGGGAAATCTCCATAACTTCTTTTACGCTACAGTAAACCTTTGCTGTCAGAAAAGTCCATTCCAGGTTCCCGAGGACTTCTGGCTTCCTGAGATGGGAGAAAAGCCATTCAAGCTCCATGATCAGGTAGATCCTTAAACCTAATTCCCATGAAATGTACTTCGGGTGTCAGTAAACCCAGACTCAGGTCAGCATATTCTGGCGATCTGGATTTATACACTTTTTTTTTATGACTCGCAGTCTGGAAATGAAAAGCAGTGGACTCTGAATCCTCTCTCTCACTCTCTTAAGGTTCGCAAAGCCCCTCACAGATGTTTTTAAAAGCCTCACTTTTGAGGACTGTTTTGGTCTCCTGCCATTGTGTGTACTTTTAGGTGTAATGAAAACTGGTGCCTCCCAAGCTCTCCTAAGAGGGAAGGCATCTACTCTCGTGGTGAGCTTGCTCGTTCTCGCCCAGCCAGAACACACGGGTCAGCGAGGTCATGTGCAAACCCACGCTCGCACGCACACCTGCTTCAACCCAGCTCCGTTCTCTCCTAGTTGCCTGGGTCGGCCTCTGTCTGCTGTAAACCTGCTGGTGTTTATCACAGTTGGCGTTTCTGCCCGTCGGTGTGTCTCAGCGTAGCGGTGCTTATTGGAGCAGTGGGCGATTTTTCTGAAGTGACCTCCGCCAGGCGAGAGATTCATGGTGGCGTTTGCTTTCATTATGTATCGAGGCTGCCTTGTGAGCTCGCTGCGCCACAGTCAGAGAAAGAGCAGAACGCTTCCCAGAATAAGCCTCCGGTATTATCTTTGAACATATGTTCTTGATTAAATGAGAAGAGAAAAGTCTCTTCGTTTTTCTCATTTGGAGGTTAAAGTGGAGGGTTTGTCTAAAAACAGATTGCAGTAAATTGCGGGTTTATTTGAACAGTATGTCAACATTATTTACTCATGGAAAAAAAAAATCTCAAATTGATAGGTTTCTTTTAATTACCTCATCCTGAAAGCTGCTCTCAACAAACAGCAAATATTTCAGAAGCCATTTGGAGAAGTCTGGAAATGTTGAATGACTGGAAACCTGCCGAGAATAATACCTTTGAAAATATTTCCATAGTTCCAAGTATAAGAAAACTTGATTAGGAAACAGCTTGTCTCTGAGCAAACTGGGTACTGCCTTCTGTGATCTTGCTGGCCTCCTCAGACAAGATGGCTTGCAAGATTATTGCCTAATACTGATCACACCACCCTGAAAAACAGGTTACCTTTCTTGACATAGACTCAGGCCAGAAATGACCTTGTTTAACTTCACTATAATAATAATATCTTCCTCTTGGGTTCTGTCCAGCAAACACAAATGCTAAATACAAGTAGGTTCAGTAATTGGGTGAGCTCTGGGAAAGTCCAAAGAGCTCTTCTAGCAAATCCAGGCCCAAACACATTTTACTCAATAATGTCCTTGGCTTGATTGCTTATTCCTGACTAGATGAAAAGATCTAAGAGACACGGCCATTCCCAGGGCCCATACCTGTTGGGGAGGAGGGAGTAGCTGAGGGAAAGAGGACAAAGACTCATATGCAAGCCAAGGACCCTTTTCTGACTTCGTTTTCAAAACTGCTTGTGGTGTTTGCTTTCTCATGTGTGCGTGCACACGTACGGTATGTATGTTTGTGTTGAACGGATGACAGAGTGGTGGTGGGAGGGTCTATAAGCAAAAGATTGGGGTGGATCTGGGTTTGCAGTCCTTGGGCACACCCCATACTTTGGGTAACCTTCGGTAGCAGCGTGTATTGAGTTACGTCTCAGGAAGCCTACCAGCTGAGCACCTCACTGGGAGTATTTTGTCTGAAACGGGCCTGTGCAGGGCTGACCTCAGGACTCCTCTGTGTGCAGGTACAGTTGTTTGCCTATGAAGTAGTACAGTTAAATTCTGAAATCTCTACCAGTGGTAAATCACTGCCTGACACCCACTGCCCAGCATGAAGTGGGGGTCTCCAGGGGCGTGAAGGGCACTGCTAGGGGCACTTGTCCTCATGGGGAATCCCGGCCCTGGATACGTGTGCAATTGCCAGTAGCCTGAGCCTCGGAGATGCTCCTGTGGCTGCCCAGACCTCTCAGGACCTTTGGATTTGTATGGAGGAGGTGGACAAAAGAAACTTGCCAGGGCAATGCTCCCAGTTACACCAATAAAAATTACTTTTTAAGAAGTTTGAAAGAAACTTTATTCTTTTCTACCCTTGCAACTGTTTCCCTCCACATATCATGTGAAGTCCAGAAGCCTTTGCCGTGGAGACCAGTTCAGAGATGGAAGATGTAATTCTAGTCCCAACTCCAACACTTAATAACTCCATGACCTTGGGCAAGGGACTTAACCCCTCTAACACTGCAGTTTTCTCATCTGTAGAGTATTGATGTTGGAATCGATTCCTTCCAGCTGTAACAACAAATGATTTTTAATCCTTAGATTTCTGTTTACTAGTCCATTCACTTAACCTATCAATGGACGTGCCATTTACACTTCGAGAAGAAAGAAAAATATCATCTGCTAACAACATTTGACCACAAGTTAAGGTAAGAGTGATGCCAAGTGCTCTAATACAGCCTGAAAGAGGGAGTTGACAGGCACAGAATGTGGCTGCTTGCCACACCCCTGCTTACGTGAGTCACCACAGACGAGCTCTTTAGCTGAGTTCACTAAATGGGGCTTCATGCTAATGTGACCTTGGCCACTGACTCAGTTCCTGCTCCATCCGGCTAAGGTCCTGTCTCCTGTTCTGTCCTGGCAACCACTTTAAAATGTGTGCTGTGACTCATCAAGGGCCCCTAAAAAGTATGTAGAAGGGTCAATACCAATTTCTTATTAATAGGGAAAATAATCCCAACATACATGAAACAGTGTCATATGCTTGATAGAAAGCAGCATTGTGTAATAATGGAATTTGCAATGTTTTTGATTAGTGATGCATTTTGAGGACTGGTAATTATAATTTATACATTGTTATTTCTTTATAATTTAAAAGTTTTCAGCCTTTCAAACTGTAATCTCTTTATATCTTTGGGGTAACTTTGGGGTTGGGGAAAAGAAGGAAAGTTTCCACCTTCTTTTTAGAATAAATACCAGTCGTAACTTTGGAGCTAATATATAGAAATGCATTTTATAATTTTTTTTAATCAACCAATATATTCCCTACATGGAGATTATCCTAAGTCATATAACATTATAATTATCAGTGAGTCTGAGTAGGACCTAAATACTGTGATACTGCTGTCTGCTATTCGGAGGACTGTTTTATGCTTGTTAAGGAAAGAATTTATAGGTACATATGTGAGTCTGTGGTTTTCTAGGAGTTTGAATTCTAGCCTGGCCTGTATATCTAAGTGCTTCAATGCCATTGTCTTGACAGACAAAAGGTTGTGGTGATTTTGGGGGATCACCCTTGTTGGTTTTTAAGAAGGTTAATTTAATCTGGATTCTCCTGTCATTTCTGTATTTCACTTTGGCTTCCCTTTCTGTTCCCACAAACAAAAAATCCTACCGGGCTCAAATTCCAGCTTGATTTTAGGAATTATAGCCAGCTTTGTTTGCAACTAACACTGCAACAATTCTGATAAAAGAATTTAAGCTAAGAAATTTAATTACTATGAATTACAAAATCCTAGGATTTGCCCCTATTCCACACTCTCTTATTTAAGAGCTAAAAAAAAAGGGATAAATGTCACTTCTACATGCAAATACTAAATTCAAAGCCTCCAAATAATTCCACAGTACAATATGAATGGGTTAATGTTCCTTCAGCAATTTAACCTCTGTCAGTGTCTCATGCTGAGGGTTTGCTGGTCATTGTTGTGATATTTTAGGTCTGAACATGACTTTCCTGTGCCAAACTTACTAGCCAGCTCTTCCCCATCCTCCTGTACATGTGCATAAAGGAACCTGCAAGACCTCTTGGTTTCAAAGCTGATCCATCAGGACTTAGCAGTGCAGGAAACCGCTGCACCTTGGGAGGGACCCCCAGGTGTCCTGGCCGGTGTCTGTTCCCATGACGCCCCCTTCCCTGGGGTTTCTTACTAGGCTGTTGTCACAATGTTGATCCCTGTGGGATACTCCCTTTCCAACACAGCTCAGGCCCAGGGCAGACCCAATTATCTCCTTAATTTTTCCAAGCACACAGCATAACTGTGACCACACTGGAACTTTTAAACACAATTTTTAGGAAGCAGAGACTTTGGGATAACCAAAGGGAGATAATCTAAGTGTAATATAAAAACAGATGATCTGGTTTCTCAATCTGCAGGATTCAGCTCCTGCCCTGCTTGTACCTCCTACGGAGGAAATCCTCAATCCCTACCACCTGGTGGGGGCCTCAGGCCAAGTCCCAGAAAGAGATGAGTGTTCCCTCCCCACCCATCTCATGATCTTTTTTCTAGCCAGGGACCCTTTTACTTGAATGAGCGATAGTAGGAATGTCCACCTCCGTGGGGCCTTATTCTGTGGCTTTACAAAATGAGTGCACCTGGATTGGCCCAGCAGCCCCCATGAGACATACAAGAGGATGAGGGGTGTCAGTGTTCAGGCATTACAGGAAAGCCAGGATCAAACCCCACATGCTCACTTATGATGATTCTTACACTTTTTGTATTTACAACATACTTGCAAATATTAGGAATTTTGTCAGTCCACTTGAAGAAATTGAAAATTAGCAAGTCAGCAGTAATTATGAAACAACCACTTGTATGATACGACAGCTGGTACTCGTTCCACTTCATCACTTTGCTTCTGTGAAACAGAACAGTGTGTTGATCTGACTTACTCTCTTCAGGCCCCTAAAGGCAAAGTTCTCCCTTTTGGTCTGGTTTATTGTTTTGGTTTAATGGTACCACCACCTTATGTCCCACTCCCAGCAAGTTGTCCATTTGTTCCACATCATGTTCCTTATGCCCACTGAGCTCCATGGGCCATCCAATGGACATCACAGTAATAGCCTCCATACTCCTATGTAGCCAAAATTCACATTGTTCAAAATCTATGAGCACACTTACGAAGCTTTCTCTGATGTACACAGTACCACAGGACTCTGGTTGGCAATCACTGTCCTACTTTATTAGGGTGATTTGAACAAGATTAGAACTTCTATACTGCATATTTTTGACTAATCTTGTTACATAAACTTGCTTTTAGTATACATGTAATAAGTATGTGAAAAGATATTTGCATTTACATTTCCTACATATGTGTGAATTCAGGTGTATGCATATGTTTTAAATAAACAATATGGCAAGGAATACTGGCTAAAATACAAAAGATCTGTATATGACTTTTTCAGTATGGGCCCTTGGGTTTTGTGGTGTTGTGATTACTTCAAAATGAATGGAAATGTTTTGGTATGAATTTCCTGTTCCTGGGAAACTACATGGTTGAAAAACTCTCTTTTTCCTCTTAAGAACTCTCCGTGTGCCAAAGTAAGAAACCCTTGAAAGGATTGCTCGAGCTTCCCCCTACATCTCCTCAATCCCAAAGGCTAATAATTTTTTAAAATGAAGAAACGGAAAAGCACTTGTCACTAAACTTCTTAGCACCTTAAAACAGCCAGAATGCATTGCATACAACTATGTCACGTTTGGACTTACACCAGCCATGAAAATACTCCCTCTTTATTCAGGAAGTAAATTGCATACTCATCACGAACAATATTCAGAAAAATGGTTTCCTTTTTGCTTTGTCTGAACTACTTACACATCAGTTTTAACAATGCTCTGAGTCCATAAACATTTTCTTCAGCTTGCCAAGCTTCACCAACTTCTCTGCTCATTTGCTGGAGTGGCTGTACTGCATCGGTTGGCTGTTAAGAGGGCAAGACCACTGAATCTTAGACTTGGAAGGCACACTGACATGGGTTATGAAATGCCCTGATTTTATAAAAGGAGCTTGAAGCTCAGAGAGACTGACTGGCTTGTTGGAGCCCTCACACCAGTCTGTAAGAGACTAGCAGCTAGACTTCCTCAGTTGATTTAAGCTGCACTTTTTGTGAAGCTCTCTGAACACTACCAGGTGCCCTGTAAATGTAAGCTATCTATGAAAGGCTGATGAAATCGCTGTTGCACTCACTCATTTATCAAAAATGCAGAATCCACCAAAAGTTTGTCTGCTTCTAATGAAAGTTTCAAGGTAAAGAGGACCCCTTTCCTTCAGCTAGCCCCCATCTGACTTACTTCTGAAACAGCTGAGAAAATACAAGATACCTTGGGCCTCATTACTTAAACCCTTAAGAATTTAAAGTTTGTAGTAACCTAGATGTCAACACATAATTCTTATGGAATAATAACTCCAGAATAACCATTTGTTTTCAAAATGATAAATACTTGTAAGAAGAATTTTGTCTAAGATCAGTAGTTCAGAAAATGAAAGATTTTATTAAAATGGCTTCATATCCTAGGTTCAGCATCTAATTCTACAAAGAAAAGAAAATACAGTGTTCATGACACATTGCTAAGTAGCATGCGGAGGCCCGCTGATTTGTGATGGCTTTCATTCACATTCATCTTAATTTTTGTCCTTCCTTTGCATATGGGCTGGAGTTGTTTGATATTGTGGTTATACAAAAGTGACAAAATGATCCACTCCCTGAGTTCTATGACTAGCTTTCACAGTTTGCTGTTCTGTTGAACCTGTCAGTTACGTATTGCCCTTTCTCCCAGTGTATCCAAATGATTGAAGTTCAAAAATGCATTACTTTCTCAATAGAGTTAGAAATCCCCGAGAAACAGAGACAGTTTAGCAGAGCCACTTTCTTTATGACAAAGATCCCCAGAAAGCACCTTTTGCACTAACTGGTTATATCAGATATCTTTTCAAGTATGTTTCCTATGGATACAATTTGGGCCATGGTATCTACAAGTCTATGTAAAAAACATGAACCATGGGATGTGCTTTTAATTTGTTTGGAGGCCAGATTTCTTTAGTTCCTTGTCCCATGCTGATTTACAGGCTTCTACATGGAATCTCACCCAAGTTTATGCACAATAATTTGAAACAACTATGGAGCAGAGTCAGGCTGCCTACCTTCTGGGTGAGAGTAACTTATTTGTTGAATGGCCAGCATTCCCTGGAATTTATTCTTCTCCTGTCATTGCCTGAAAACATGCTCTTGGATCTCCTTTCCCCATGCATAGCTTTCCAGCCACTTTCAGGTGCAATATTAAGGTTCACTCAAGTCTCCCTGCACCCGTATTTGGCATAACCCACAGTTTCAGTGACCCCAGGAGGGAAAGGAAGCCTGGTCTTTTCTTCCACTTGTTCTTTTTCTTTCATTTGCTGCTTCTGATTCTCTTTTCTTTCTCTCTGCAGAGCCAGGGAAGAGGGATTGGAGACTGGGTAGAAGTGTCTCTTACCCATCAGTGTTGTTATAATTTCACTTCTCTACCTTTGGAGTTTTTCAGAGTCCTTGACACTGACTGACTGTGACCCCTAGCAGTATACCTTGTGCCATGGGTAATCTTCAGTCTAATTGCTCCAGCCCACAATCAGTTCTTGGGCCACTGTCAGCACCTGCCTGCAGAGTAACTCTGCCTTT